AAAAAATTAAGTAGACAAAAATAAAAAAAAATAAAAAAATTATGGACCAAAATCAAACAGCCGTATTTTTGGAATACGTTTTTTTTAAAAAAAAAATAACTAGAAAAACGTATTTCCAGAATACGTCTTTATATATTATTTATTAGATTAAAAAAAATTACAAAAATTCGATGAATATTCGAATATAAAAAAAATAATAAAATAAAATAGAATGAAAAAAACATATTTCCGAAATACGTTTTTATTAAAACGGATTTTAGAAATACGTCCACCGACACTTTTATAAAAATAATATATATATATATATATATATATATATTTAAATTGAAACGTATTCTGAGAATACATTTTGCAATTAAAACTGTCGGTGAACGTATTCGGAGAATACGTTTTTGCTATTAAATATAAAAAAAAAAAATCTTTTCCTCTCCATTTCATTTACGCTAATCACATACAGAGAGTAGAAAAAGGGGAGCAAGAAGAAGCGAAAAAAATCAGGAAAAAAAAAAACTCGATCCAATATTTACTTCGGTGTGAATCGACAACACCGATATGTGCCTCATTTTCGGTTAATTCATTCGCACGAGGTATATTGGTTTATCTTAACTTTTTACATTATTTGGAGTTGTTTGGAGATTGATGATTATTATAATGTTTTTGAATGTGGTTGTGTTTGAAGATTGAATTGATTATCGATTATGTGTGTATGTTGAATTGAGGATTGAAATTTTGTGTGTAAATTGTCAATTGTGTATTGTTTGATTGTTGTTGGGGTTAGGGTTGTTCGAAATTAGGGTTTATAATTAGGGATTTCAATTTATTCGAATTATAGATGAATTTTATGTTATTGTTCGATTATGAGTATTAGGTTTTGGAGGATTATTTGATTTAGACTTTTTTTTTATGTTGGAGTAAAAAATTGAGTTTTAAATTTTGGACATTATGTGTTGTTGTAATTGTAAAGAATTGAAATTGTTTTTTTGCAACAGGTATAAAATGGCCTATCCCGGTCCATACCTTGTTAATTTGTACTGGCATTTTGGGAAGGAAATGTTAAGCGATTTTGTTTCATTTAAAGATCGTCCGAGTGGTTCATTTATAATTCCGGGGAGGATATCATATGAACAGTTGGTACAAATGATTAATGCAAAATGTCAGTTTGAAGAAAGTTGGACAATTCAGAAGATTACTATGATGATTAGCCAACCTGATGGTTCATGGAATCCCGCAATACTCAATAATGATAGTTTTGAATGGATTTATTACTTTCTTAGTATGTCCATGGTGTATTTGCATTTATCGTTGCAGGCAAATACACCCGTTACACAGTTGGAGGATTTTACTCCTTGTTACGGGGGAGTGTTTGATGTCGAGGGTACATCAACTTCTCATGTACCTAATTTTGGAGAAGGGACATCGAGAGAATGGGCGGCTGATGAGGACGATGAAGATTTTATTCCCGGTGAAGATGATTTCACAGACGAGACCTCAGAAACCGAATCAAATAGATCGGTAAATGAGGAGAGTGAACCTGAGTTCGTCGAAGAAGAACACCCATTTCCTAGCGGTGGTCGGCACATATACCGCGAGATGGGTGAATGGGACCCGTCCAGGACAGATGCGAACGAGTATGCTATTCCACTATGGAATGGCGACATTGAGACCATACGTTTGAATACAGTTTTCCGGAGCAAGGAAGAAGCTTAAACGGGTATAATGGCTTGGAACGTCGATAGGTTGCGGGAGATTCGGACAAAAGATTCAAATAAGAAGACATTCAAAGTGGTCTGCAACTCGAATGCTCATGTGCCTTGTCTGTGGAAGGCTCGGGTGAATAAGGCCAGATGGTGTGATGATTTGTGGGAAGTAACTGAATGGACTGACCAACACACTTGCATGCAACAGGTCGACAGAAATGACCACAGAAACGTGACCGCCCATATGATTGTGAATCTTATAATCAATAAGATTCAGAGGAAAGTGGAGTACAACATTAACATGGTCCAGGCTGATGTAAAGCAGTGTTGAAAAGTCGACGTCAGTTACAAGAAGGCATGGCACGGCAGGAAAAAAACAATCGAGTGTGTGTACGGTAGTTGGGAGTCGAACTTCGCAGAACTCCCTCAGTAAGCAAAAATTAATTACAAATATACGTGTTGTTTATCTATCATTATGTTTATTTATTTATGAAATTATTTGTATTGTACAGATATTTTGCCGCGCTTCAAAGAGCGAATCCAAACGCAGTTGTAGATTGGGAATTTCAGGGTGGTGATATGGCGCGACACGTTCCAAACAGAGAATTCAAATTTGTGTTCTGGGCGTTTGGTCCCGCGATTCAAACCTTCCAAATGTGCCCGCCGGTTATTAGCGTCGATGGCACTCATTTACGTGGACATTACAAAGGAAAATTTCTCGTGGCCGTAGCACAGACTGCGAATAAACGGCTATTGCCAATCGCGTATGCGCTTGTCGACGAAGAAAGCACGGACAGTTGGTCATTTTTCCTCAGGAATCTGCGGCGATATGTTGTAGGCGGCTCTACACAGATATGCATTCTTTCTGACAGGGATGCGGGCCTACGCAGTGCGATTGAATCATTGCCGGATTGGCAAGAACCCGCTGCGTATCACCGGATTTATCTTCGACACCTTCGAAGCAATGTGGTGACTAGGTTCAGGAGTAAGAAAATCCGGGATTGGTGTTGGGAGTTGGGTTCGCAGTTGTCAAAGCGAAAGTTTCGACAGACAAAAGAGCGACTTCATGAATTTAATCTCGACGCATACAATTACCTTTTCAACATTCCTTTGAACCGGTGGACCCTGTATGGAGATGAAAAACGTAGATGGGGAACCTTGACAACGAACATGTCGGAGAGTTACAACAACGTCCTGAAAGGGGTTAGGTTCCTGCCGTGCAAAGCTTTGGTAGACGCTACATTTCACAAAACTCTGGATTTGTTTCGACAAGAACAAAACAAGTTCAGCAGATGCAGGAGTCCCATTGCTAGGGAGCACTATGCCGCATTTTTGCAGCTGGAGCAAACAACCACAACTCACGATGTGGAATGTACAGACTACAACATATCCATGTACGCGGTGACAACCGGTCTACGTGCTAGTGGAAGAGGGCAAAACAAGTAAGTATATGCTTTTTTTTTTATTATTTTTTGTTCATTCAACTTTTTTATTTTGTATATATATAAATCAATTTTTTATTTATTTTGTATATATATAAATCAATTTGGAAATACAGGTATAAGGTTGATTACACCGCAAAACATTGTACTTGTCGGAAGTGACAGACGCATAGAAAATCGTGTTCTCATGCAATAGCTGTTTGTCGTAGAATTGCGGGTGACCCAAAGCTGCTGTACGATGAGCACTTTTGGACGTCGACCTAGGTAGCTCAATTTACTAATTGGAGTTTTACTCCGATTGGTAATCTGGATACATGGGCAGAGGTGGGATGGAATTTGATTCCACACTGGGAGAGGATCATCTTGAAGCCTGGACCCGGTTGCAAGCTAACGTGACGCTACCACATGCAAATGGATCGTCGGGCAAGACGCAGAAATGAAAAGGGACATTGTACTAGATGCGGTGATCCAGAGCATGTTGTGGATGAGTGTCCGTCCTCACATCCTCGCAGCGATAGGTCTAGACTTCGTGATGTGTGGGGAGATTAGATTTTTTAGTGTTTATTTGGATTTGTTTGGATTGTTCATTTGGATTTGGTTGAATTATTTATTTTGTTTTGTTTGTATGATTTATTTGGACTTGGTTTGATGGTATTTATGGTAGATTGGTTGATTTGCTCGTGTAATTTTGGTGTAGTTGGTTGTTTGGAATATGCATAGAAAAGTGTTAAAGGACGAAAAATGTTAAAATCGAGCTGCAGTTGGGTCACACGACTCGTGTGAGTAGGTGACACGAGTCGTGTGGCTACAAGAGAATGAAATTTCAGCTACGGTTTTTTCACACGGGTCGTGTGTCATGTGACACAGGTCATGTGACGTCACACGACCCGTGTGATTATGTCGTGTGAGTGGTTGTGTGAGTCTGGGAGTTTTTTTTTTATTTAACTAAAAACGGATTCTAAAAATCCGTTTTTTAAATAAAAAATAGCATAGACTCCCAGATTGAGGACTC